GATGGATCACAGTGCCAAACCCTGATGACCTTGGAAGCAAGATTCTCACAAGCAAACTGTTTCATTAAAAAAAATATTTGAGTATGGTGGCAATAATTTCCTAGGAGTATCAGGACCAAATGACAGACAATCCCTGCCTACTTTTTTAGAAGCACCACAGTCCTATGGTAAAGTTACTATGGTAGGAGTACATAAGGAACCCCAGAAAAAGGAATTTATAGAAAGATAGGACTTCACTGCTCAAAAACATTTTCTGTCAGTACCATACAGTGAACTGCATGCAGATTCAGTCTTTTCGTGCTAAGTTTACAAAAATCAGTGCCTTTAAAATATGAGATTAGATAACCGCTCATTTGATTCTGACAGGAACATTCAGGAAGGATACAGTGGATCTCATTCACCCTTGTCTTGGCCCTTGTGATGTCTCCTACATGTGAAAATTGTGTGTAAAATACTACTGGGGTAATCAGGGGTAGCTTTCTGCTCTCTCACACTTCAAAGGCACAAGAGAGGCCATAATAAGTACAAGGTGCTGAAGAATCAAGCTCTGCATACAGGGCCCCCATTAGATGAGACCGGACTCTTTTTAAAAACAAAATAAATAAATAGTGCTGGAAAATAATACCTATTCGACAACTACAGAGCAGGTATAGCACAAGCAGCAGCAATAAAATCAACCTCCCATTGTGCCCTGGAGCTGGTTTATCCTTGATAACCGGGAACTGCTTCCCAGAATGAGCGTTCAGCCTTGGTGCCCACTAAGCCTTTGGCCTCCCCACCACACCCCAGCCCCACCTAGTGCCAGTCTTAGTGGTTTGCTTTTGCACCCTTGATGGTTGTCCTGTAGGAACTGAGAATCCAGACACCCATTTCATGTTTACTTTCAAGCAACTGTCAGTTAGTAACAACAGTTTTCTTTTCAATACGGTCTTTTATGATTATTCAAATTTCCCACCCAGGTTTCTCAAGTCTCATAAGACTCACCTGTGACTGGATGTATTCCCCTCCCCCTCAAAAAAGCAAGAGGTACCCATCAAATTACCTCCATACTACTCACAGCCCCCACATGCCCAATGACTATAGTAACTGAACAAGCCACATATCCATACAAGCTATGCTTCACCTGATAATTCAATTAACCTGGTCTGGAAAGCAGTATATAAATGGAACTCCTTTGAACCCAGTGTAAAGCTTTCAGTGTACACAGAGAAAAAACAGGATTGGCCACGGACTCTACAGCAAACCGGACCATACATAGGCAGCCATCACTATAAAGTGTAAGTTTTCTATTAATTTGTTAAGTGTCACAAGAAATAAGTATAAAAAGTTCAAAGGAGATAAATAACAAAGAGGAACACACAGGGGATGCCGTCAACTTAAAAATCAGAATAGGCAAAATCCTTTGCCTTTTCTCAAAACGTATTCACTCTTACTCAAATTCTGCTAAATCAATGAATGTTTGCTCAAGTTAAAATTGAGTAACTACTGTAAAAGAAAAAAGAAAGGAAAAAAGTCGAGATTTGACCACCTTTAAAAAAATTCAAAACAATACTTTGTACAAATAAAATTTTGGAATAGTCCAGGTAAGAGAATATTAAAAAATCGGATGCATTTTTCACTGTGGATGCTGTTTGTTTACTTTGGGTTTTCTTGGGCCAGACGGTCAGATCAATGAAGTCAGTTTCACTTTGGTCGACCGTCAGTTTCTCTGTGCTGCAGGGTTGGAGCGGTAAACCCTGCAGAGGGAACAGTTTGTTGTTTAATAAACAACTATTTCCACTGGAATTTTGTTAGAAAAAACCAGGAAAATGTTTCTAAGCCTCTTAAGTTTTGTAAAACTCGGTTTAAAACCATGTCTAAATAACGCAATGCTAGATTTGATTTATTAATTTCTCATTAACATTTATAAAACTTTTCACAATGGGAGCCATCTTTCACCATCCAGATCATTGTGGAGAAAGACCTCTAAAATGTTACAAGAATAAAACCAACTGGATTATATAGGAGTATCTCATGCTGTCAGTTTCTGAACAGTACTCCTATTGAGATTATTCTGCTTAAAAACTAAAGGCCAGCAAAAATTAAGCAGGGTTTGCCTGGAATGATTTGAACAACCTAAAGCATCTAACAGAGAATGTGTTCCTTTCTACAGTATTTTTAGAGCATCATATAGAATTCCATGGGGGGGAGGGTATCATTCCCTATTTACATCTAAACATATAAATAATAATGCATTTCTTAAATTGTTCTGCAGCTGTTCTCCCTTATGTGTAAGATGGGCCTATGGAGAAAATGTGGAAATGGGAAAACTGTGAGCAATATTTACAATAATGATATATCCAACTCAGGAAATTACTACAACTGTCTTTATCAAAATAAGCAAGATAGATACTTTTTCCTTCTCTACAACAAAAACAAAAAGCCCCTCTATTAAAATTAAATTTGAGTTGGCATTCGTTTGGAATTTAGGTTTGACTCTCTGCTATCCCTCTGCTCTTGGTCCCATTAAAAAAAAGCCAACGTTGATTTTCATCTTGCAGGAGTTAGAGGCATACATGCACATGCCATTCAATCCAAAATTGCTTTAGCTACAGGGCATGGCAAAGCATGAAATAACTGCTCCAGAGCACTTCCTCATGTGGGTGTGTTAGATAACTGTCTGCTCCAACATTAAAATAAGGCATACTGTGACCCAATCAACACTGCCCGGTTCTGCCTTGTTAGACTGCAAGGGCCGGGGGCATACAGAACCCACTCCTACCAGCAAGGGTGCTGAATGCCATGCCTTCCAGCTCTGTTGTGCCCCTTATGCCAAAGGATTTTTAGCTTCCCAAGTTCCAAGTACAGCATCCCCTAGATTTAAGTTTACTTAGGCATACTTTACCCTTCGCTGTTGTATACAGATTGAAAATGGACTTTGTGCTGAGCCTTTTCGTAATGCTTTGGTTTCACAGAAAATTAAATCCTTTTCATAAAAAGTTTTGGGGGGCGGGGTTTAAGGGAAAGGATTTTTTAATCTTCTTTTTTAATTGGATAAATTTGATTTTTCTCCCATTCTGCTCCTCTCCTTATGCTTTTAATTCTTCTGGGGTTTTCAAAATACTAAAAGATCTTGTTTAGTCCTTTGAAAGAACAGGAATGGGACGGCTGCTTTCTGTTTTGGATATATTTTAGAGTCCAAGAACAGGTTCACAAGAATTCACACAGAAAAAGCTGGGCTGTGAGACAGCATCCACCTGTATTGATTCAGGCAAATGTGGCAGGTGTCTGGAAACACATACATACACCCTGTGAGGGAAGGGGGCCAGAGATGGTTGCTAACATTTCAGCTGCATCCCTTCAGGCTGGCCACTGCCAAACTGGCATCAACTGTTCCCCAGTTTGAGACTTCTTAATTTTTGCCATAGTTTCCCTTCCTTCTACAACCAAATCTGAGTTACAAGGTTTGGATTTAACAGGCCGGGGGGGTGGGGGGCATCACCCTGCTCCAGTAACGTGCAATTTGTAGCAATAAAAACATTTAAAGTTTATCAACCTAATGTTAATTCGAGAATCCAAGTTGAAAGGATGAGAGAAAGGGAGTGGAAAGCGCTGAATTTCATTCCTGAGCTGACAGAAAGGCTGCCAAATCTTGACTTAAATGCTACATAAAGTCTCTAAAAAGTTTCACATAGGCTCTGAGAAAAAATATAAAATGTATTAATATGGAGAAAATGGGTTTGGTATTTACAGCGACAATGGATGATTTGCTACTTTGGGCTTCAATTAACCTGGTTTGTCCAGTAAGGAAACACTATTGTCGATATTGGAGTTACAGGAGGTAAAACAAAACAAAACAAAAAAACCTGTTGGCAGCAAAAGTTCTCTACTGCCCTAGAATAATGAACATTTCATGAGATTTTTATGTTTTGGAGAATCTCTTCTATGATCCCAGGTGGCTTGCGACTATTACTTTATGGACTTCTTCATGTTATCGGAAAGGCCTAATGCAATTAAAAAAAAAGTCTGCCTCTTGCTATTGAATAAATCATTTTCTGTTAAAAAGGTGATTGTTACTGTTGAGACATTTCCACTGATCAGCGTCCATTTTCTATAATTACTCATGGATTCTCTAGAACATTTTATATAACTCACTGCCACTCACTATCTGTCTTAATTTTTTTTTTTTTTTACCAACAGAGGAGCAGTTTTATTCTCCGATAGCCTTGATAGAAGCTCAGATTTAAAAAAAAATTTCAAATGGATCTGCTTAACCAACCCTTAGAACCTATGGCAAACCTAGGCTTGAAAAACTCACCAATGCTAAATGGGCTGTGAAACACAACACAAATCCCTCCCCGGGAAAAACAACAAGAGCAGTAATAATAATTACTCCTGTTATAAACTCTTTGTATGATATTACAGAAATGCAGCTCATGTATGGAATGAAAAAATGGTAAATAAATAGTTACTGTTTCTGGACAAAATGGCTCGACAGCTTTCAGAATTTGCCACCACTGTAAAAAGATATCTATCCCCTCTGCCCCCCAAAATGTACACCGAAGTACAAGTGTAACCATATATAATAAAGGGTGTGTTGCGGGGGGATAGATTCAAACTTTCTAAGAGGGAGTTTGTATTCTTATGAGCCCAATGATGCTTCTGTAATGTTATATTGAATCACTAACATAAAAGTTAGAATATTTTCCCTTTCCCTCTTAGCAAATTAAGCAGAAAAAAATGTAAAAAAAAATAAATTATTTTTAAAATATCCAACAGGGGAAAGTGCACGTACAGTAACCAAAATGAACCCCTTCAGCCTGTCACCAAAATAAAGCAAAAAAAAAATCTCAAAATAAAAATCCTGGCAGAAAGAGTGGAACCTGCTTTCTCTTTTACGTTTATATTTTATGTACGGTAAACATGCACTTTAAACTTACTATATATAGAGTGTGTATATATATATTATATATAGATATAAAACAAAGAACAAGAGTCATTGCTAACCCTGGTTACCAGCATTATAGCTCAAACTCATTGGCAAATACTAATAAAAGCCCATTTAGCAGTAAATAAGGAGAACATGATATATGGACAGACAGATGGAACTGCATAAACAGAAAAGAAAAAGCAGAGAGACCCACAAACATACGGAGAGGGCTGTTTTAAAAGAGTGAAAGATATTGATTTACTTGGAACTAGTGTTGGAAAACAAACATATTTGTTTCCTTCATGATTTAAAAAAAAAAAAAAGTAATTAAAGTGAATCATAAGAGGGCACACCCTTAAACAAGTAGAAGGGGAAAAAACATTTTGCTGAGGGTAAGGCCTTCTATAGATGTTCCAAATTTTAAGCTAGCAAATGGGTCTGACAAACTTGTATCTCTAAATTAAAAATCAAGGGGGGGGGGGGGGGGGGAGAAAAAAGAAGGGGAGGGG